TGTACAGAACAATGTTGGTTGCTTCATTAAACTATGTTTGCGGGTTATTCGCAGCATGGAGCTCCAGGTGTGTAGCTAGTTTACTTGACAGTGAATGACTTGTTTGTTTGTTTGTTTGTTCATGACATTATATAATTCTGGACATTGGTCTTAAATCCTGGAAAATATATTCATTCGTATTGATCTTGTGATGAATGTGAAGATATAGTCGCATCTGTAATGCGGTCGTTATTTCCTTGTGATGAAAATACTGAATTTTTAAAGACGTACCCCATATTCCTTTCACTGCTAATTTATGCTAATTTTCCCCCTATTTTGCACATTTGTACTCTCTCGGCCGATGCAACGCATGAAAATCTTCCTGGCTAGATTTTTACCGAATTCTTGTCATCAACTTGTACGTTTTCATTCATTGCTCTATACTCAAAAATACATTTGGAGAAAGACGGGGAAAACTCGTCAATCACTAGTACTGGTGGTTGTGAAATAAATTGTCAGACAAAGTAATAATCAGCGGTGCTTGCATCAAAGGCGCATTGTTACATCATCAGTGATAGGCTGAAATTTAGCTGATTGGGCCAGGTACGTATTTGGTCGTGTTATCCAAAATTACCAGAGAAAGCCACCCGCCCCGTGACTATTTCATATACATGAATTCGGAATACTCGTTGATTATACAGAAATTAACTTGTGATCAGAAAGAATGGTTATTATTGCATCATGCCATAGGAAATCTCATTTTTTTCATTTCTTACCAAATTTGTTATTTATTCGTCGATTTCGCGACGACCGAGTCTAATTTTTTTGAGTAAAATAGCGATGCAAAATCAGTAAGAAACTAATCATACAAAGTACTCTTTGTACACTTTGCGCGCGTGTGCGCGTTCGCATTGATTGGTAGGCGAGCACCAGTCACGCGTAACCAGAGATAAGCGCTGTTTGCTGTTGTTGTTGTTGTTGTTGTTATTAAATATACATATACATGTATGTGTCACTTTTATAAAAACATTACTATTAAGGACAAATATTTCAATAAATGCCGTCACAGTGCGAGAGCCCTTAGCGTTCCAATGCGCGTAAATTCACAAAGACTTGCTTATATTCCGAACTAACAAGGCAGAATCAATGCGGGCATAGTCATGCCACATAATAGTCCCAAGACCACAATACAACTTGAATGTGGATACGACCAGTATGTACATAGTTCAAATTTGTAGGTTTGTGGTAAAACAGTCATGTCACGTGTGATATCACCATAATATCCAGTGTTCATATTTTTGAAATCTAACATGACACAATATATCGATAATTATTATGAGGGGGAGGGGTTACTTTAATCACAGTTGTCATAGAGTGCGGATTTTGTTTGTATTTTATTACAGACATTATTTCAACCTATTTTATAATAAATAATTTAGAAAAATATCAACTACTCAGTGTATACAAATCAACTACTTAGTGTAACTAATAAATAACTTTGAAACTCACCGAAAACTTACCCTAAACCCCGACTAATCAAGGTCAAACCGTATCGATCGAATAATTCAATTCAACCTAAAATATTTTGTAAAACATTCCGGATCAAGATTGATATGAAATCCCCCCCCCCCCTAACTAGAGGATAAATAACCCATTGTTACAATAATTTGCCGTTTGGATCAAAACACAATCCTAAGTTAAGGTAGAGATGCAGTTTACCTGACAGGTATTTTAATTAGTTAATTAGGAAACCAAGATGACCTCCCTTGTCCACAAAACTATATATTTTCGGAAAGCTTATTGTATAAATTTTAAAATTTTGTTAGTATTTTTTTATGGACAGTGTAGTTTGAAATATGCACAAAAATGTACTTTTTTGGTCGAAAGTGATTAAAAAAATTTGCTTCTAAACCATGCTTCTGTTTCCTGTCAAAATTGGTT